TGTGGTAACCACTACCCCTTTATAGACATTTAAATTAAAATTAAAGAAAATTAAAAATTCAGTTTCTTAGTCACATTAGCCACATTTCAAGTATTTAATAGTCACAAGTGGCTACCTAGTGTTTTGGACAGTGCAAATACAGAACATTTCCATTATTGCAGAAAATTCTGTTGAAGGGGTTTGTGCGATGAACAGCACCAGGAGATTGTTATAAATTAGGATGTAGATGATGAAAGGAAAAAATGATCACACAGAAAGTTACTGATACAGATAATGATCCAGGTAACATTATTTTATGCATAATGAAGTAAATTCAGAAACATTCTAAAATTAGTTCTAAAACCATTTCTAAGCAGTTGGTTAAAATGGCTCCAGAAACAAATTGCTGGGAGGCAGTGCTGGAATAGCGAAGAAAGCACCGGGCTAGGAGTGAGAAGACCTGACTTGTAATCTCCCTTCTTAATTAGCTGGGAGACCTTCTGCAAATCACTCAAACTCACTTGGCCATGAAACACATCATTTATAATACTCGAAACATTAGGTATCATTCTAAGCTATTATTTTATTTTCTCTAAGGTCCCTCCTGATTTAAAATGTTTCCTTTTAATTAGATCTGTGGGTAAAGTACAACTTTTTAAGTAAAAATGACCTCTGTTTTTTGTATATATTTAAAGGTGTACAACATGATGTTTTGATAACTTTCCTTAATTCCTTCTCCTAAATCTGTCTAAACTCACATATTCATTTCCCCAGTATTTCCCCCACAGCCACTCTTGTGTGCAGGAGTACCACCCTCTTTTTTTGAGACAGGGGCTGCTAACGCTTGCACCCCAGACACTTGGCATCATCTTCTAGGAGCAAAGCTTTTCTCTGCCTTCAAACACAGTTGGAAAAGGTAAATCTTACTCTTTAAAATTGGGAGCATACAAAAAATATATAACTGGAGCAGGAATTTTTTTTTCATGTAGCTGGCCCCTCTCAGCCACTGGAACAAAAGACTTGGTCACATCTCATTCTTGCCGCTAGAAGAGTGTTTTTAAGAAAGTTTCTCTATGGTGTCTGCTAGATCACACTCTCTCCTATTCAGCTCACCTTTGTTATTGGTCTTGGGACATCCAAAGGGCATGTTTTGTGTTTTAGGTCATAGAGGCTTCCCTTTCTGAGACAGCTGTGGTGGCGTGGGTGTCCAGGGGATGAGGTGCTGTGTGGCTTTGTCTCACTGGTCAGTTAGTCAGCCAGCCCTCTTGGGATGAGGTGGAGCTGGCCTCCTCCTGACGATGATCAACTCTCAGTTGTTTGTAATTTTCTCGAAAAATAAATACTCTGAGGCTACAGTTTCTCATGATTGGTCTTAACCCCAGAAGTGTGTTTTGTTGTTGTTGTTTTTGGAAAGTTCCAAAAACATCTGTTTGGAGGAGATTATTTCAGTGGGGACCGTGTATGTCAGCAGTTAAACTACTCAGACACATTTTCTCTCCTTTTTCTTGTCCAAATAACCCTTTAAAATGGCCTCAGTGAGGAATTCATAGCAAAAATTCATTTTCCTTCTCTCTGCATTTTGTTTCTTTCTCCTTGATTTCTCCTCTTTTTCTGAGAAAATGCGTAAGAAAATAAGAAGGATCTAGACATACTTTGCATTGCCAAGAAAAATAGTAGGCCTTACTGTTGCCTTCACCTAACTTTGCAATTGTACCTAGTTCATTTCACAATAGGACAAAGTTTCACTGCAGTTAGGTTTTCCAGCTTAAGCCTTTTTGGCCTTTTTTTCCCTTAACATTAAAAGAAATACTTAAATCTTTAGAATTATCTTTCTAGACCAAACTTACTGGGTAACTTGGTCCAAAAGGTGACTCAGTTTCCCCAGCTGCTAAATTAAGATGCGTCATATCTCCAGTGACACCCCCCCCATACACCCATTGTTTTTTGGTTACAGTTCTTCTTTTACATGAATGGACCCCACATATCCTGTTTTGGGGTCATTAAAGTGGTACTTGCTTACAACTCTGTGGTGGGGATTAACGGGTTAACTCCTCTCTCCTTGTTTGGATACCTGCATCTTCTCACCCCCTTTCACTCCCCAAATACATTCTATTCTTCTGTTGCTTTTAAAGGCTGGCTGGTGGCTGGCAGCGGCAGTGGGATCTGTTTCCATTTTGAACCTTATAAATTACCGAGGGTGCAGAAATAACAGAAATTGTTTGGCTGGTCCTTGTTAAGCAGGAGGGGGTCTGGGCTGAATTTCCTCAGTAAAACCTTTGCGGATTTTACAACCCAAACACCTCTGCAGCCACCCTGTACTCATAAGAAACAGCCCTCCCATCCCTCTTTGTCTGCTTGTTCTCTTTTTGCCCTTTATTACTTTGTATTCATTTTCTGTCTCCCTCCCTCCCTCCCTTTCTTCCTTCCTTTCTTGCCTTCCTGCCTGCCTGCCTTCCTTGAGGCATGGAGGGAACACTTGCTATCAGTCTCCTTAAGGAGCTGGGGAAACTGGGGCATGCCATTAACAAGCGAGTTCCATAAAATCCCATAATTGGGAACTCATACAGTATCCTATATAAATACATTATCTCACTGGGGAAAAGTAGATTAGAGAATTAAAGCAAGTATCTGGAAAATTGGGAGGACACTAAAAGCTTGATCTTTGGTACAAACTTTTCCTCTAGAAATCACTGTTAAAATTCCTCACTGTTCTATATCACCCTTATTCCAACACTGTTTGTTAAACACCCACTGGGTACAGAACCCTGAGAGGAAAAAAATGGGAAAAGGCTACTATTGTGGTTAAACGCACAGAGCTTTGGAATCAGCCCAACCTGGGTTTCAATCAGGTCTAGAGATACATGATCTCGGGCAAGTTACTTAACCTCTGGAACTCAGTTGCCTCACCTGTAAAATGAGGGTATTAGTCCCCGCTTTGCAGGGTTGATGTGAACATTGGAGGAGACACCTCGTGCCAAGAGCTTAGCAGGTACCACCTGGGGTAGCAGCAGGCACCCCCTCCCTCCCTCCACCACTGCCTTTCCCAGCGCTACTCACAGCCTTTGCAGCTTTCACGAATTGCACTTTGGTAATAACGTGGCCCTTTGATTCACTGGATTGTGTGAAAAAGAACAAAAGCTCTGTCTACACTAACAGGAAATTATTTTAACTTACCAGGAAAGAACTTTTGAAAAGTTTCTTTAAAAATTGTCTTTCAAACACCTTTTAGAAAATGTCCCCTTGTCCTTTCCCAGAGCAGTCGAAGAGTCTTATAGGTCCTCTGATGTCAAAATCATGAAGCAAAGAGAGGAAATAAAAATTAAGGGGCAAGAACTCTTTCTTGGAAACGTTTTGAACATCAGTGTGGGGGCTGGCATCCTAGATCTGGTTTGGAAGGGTGCTCGTTGGGCAAAGCAGATGTGGGCCTCTTGCCTCCCTCAGCTGCCGGGCAGAAAGCCAGAGGGCCACAGGGCCTTGGGGAAGGGAAAGGTTTGGGCAAATGCCAGGCACTTCCTAGAACAGAGCAAGAGTCCCCTATGTCAGGAGCATTGGAGGTTGAAAGGCCCAAGACCATCTCTTACAACAAACTGTGCAGACAGCCAGAACTCCAGGGACTGGAGAACACAACACATTTCTCAGCTGAGAAGCTTAACTACTTCCCTGATTTTTCAATGGTGACTACAAATGTTCAAGAGAGTCTCTGGTTAGATAAATTGGTCTAGAAGAACTAACATTTTGAATGTATGTCACACTCCTGGAAATATACTATTAATATTGCCCCATGTGCATGGTCTACTGTTCAGATCATTGGAAGGTTGTCTTAAATGTTACCTGAACTCACTCTAATGCCACCCTGCCTCACAAGGGTGTTGATACGCCTTCCTTATTTGCTAAGGTTCTGTAAACCCATCGGTGAAATGCATAGAAGAAAATCTTGGTTTTGGCTATGCCGGAAGTGTGTGTGTGTGTGTGTTAGAATACATGCTTGCCTATGTGATTTTGATGAATCTTTTAAGGACCACAGCTTTAGGGAGGCAAAAGGAATAATGCTGCGGAAGGGGAGAAGCTCACGTTCTAGGCTTGAGGTAAGAGGGTGGGTGATAGCTGAGATGTGTCGTCAGGGGGCTGGAAGGACAGTGTGGTCTGAAGCCCCAGAGGAATGTTGTTCTGGGTGGAGATGCAACCTGGGCAGTTGTCAAGAGCACAGGTTCTGTAGAGAAGGAAAAGTCTAGAATTCCAGCACCAGGGGCAGAGAGAAGTGGAAGGCAGCAAGCAAAGCTGAAACAAGGCTGTGTGCCCTGAGAAAGTGGGGGTCCTTGGCAGACGTGGGACTTCCAGCTGTGTGTGGTTGCGGGAGTTGAGGTTGCAGACAAGCTGAGGAGAGCAGGCTGATTCCAGGAATAAAAGGGAGTTCACAGGGATAGGTGTAGAGCGGGGCTGAGAAAATCAAAGCAGGAGAGCTTTCATGAGTCCCTGAGACGTCAGGATTCATCGATTAGTAGCGTCCTCCGCAGGGAGCAGTCAGCATGCATTTCACGCACAACAGCGCGTCCCACAGTCGTCTGCACTAGCCGTGTGGCTGTGGACAGCTGGCCTCCTGTAATGGTAAGAATAACACTGCCCCGCGCCCTGGACGTGGCTGTAGGTCTCAGCTTCTCTACATCCTGTGCTCCCCTGTCCTTGGTGCTGTTGGTCCACTGGGCAGGGCTCAGGCATTCTTATCCTAACAGAATCGCCTTCTAGCTCAAGGGAAGGAGCTCTAGGGGGCAACTTAGGAGAAGCTTCTTTTAGATGAGAAATGGCATGAGAGTGTTCTTGTCTTCCGGCAGCACGACCTGGTCTCCACTTTGAATGTGCCGGCAGGGAGCGAGGGACAAAAGCTGGGCCTGTGGCTGTGACAGGGACATCACAGGCACCCTCACCGTGGTCATTTCTCTCCTTTTCTCTCTCACAGCAGTGTCACAGGGAACTGCAGTATCTCTTTGAGTGACCCTGACGGCTTATGGGACGTTGGCTTTGGACCCTCTGTGACACACCATGCTGCGTGGGCTGATGAGGACACAGAGAGGAGGGACGCCTGGGGTCACCCTGGCTTGTCTCCTCTTAACCACCGCAGGCTGCTTTGCTGACTTGAGTGAGTTCTTTCCTTCCCTTTCTCAGCCGCCCCTCGGGGAAGAACACTTTGCCCCTAACGTCAAATGGAAGCATTGAGCACTCTACCTTAACTCTTTAAAAAGGCCTCCCTCTTCCTGGATTCAGGGAATACTTCATTCCCACTGGCCTTCAGGGACATACGAATACCAGATGAGAAGTGATCACAACAACATTATATTGGTTACATTTTGGTATTTTACTCATTTCAAAGATATTCTGGAGGAGGAGAAAAAGTAGTAATAACAGTTGCCTTTTATTGTGCGCTTATCATATGAAGTCATGGCAGGCAATTTACAGGCATTGTTTGTAAGCCTCACAAAAACGCTGAGACAAGTATTACATTATTAGCCTCTTTTCCAGATGAGGAAACTGAGGCTTCACAAGGCTAGAGTCATATGGCTCAGCAGTAGAGGCAGTGGGATCAGACCCAGGTGTGCCCAACTGCAAAGTCTGGTCTCTGGTCTTTACAACACACTACTGCTCCACATGTGCCTGGGGACAAAGACAGGTTGGGACATGGACAAGACAGTAGAGTTACTCAGAGAAAGATCAACTCCTCTGGTGCCTGACTCTGAAAGACTGCCTGAGTGCTATGCTTCTGAAAAGGCGATGTTGGTTTTTAGGGGGGTCATTTCATTGCTGCATCCCTGTTCTTCCTCCAGACGAGGTCCCTCAGGTCACCGTGCAGCCCGCGTCCACTGTGCAGAAGCTCGGAGGAACTGTGATCCTGGGCTGTGTGGTGGAGCCTCCGTGGATGAACGTAACCTGGCGCCTGAACGGGAAGGAACTGAATGGCTCAGATGATGCTCTGGGCGTCCTCATCACCCACGGAACCCTAGTCATCACTGCCCTCAACAACCACACCGTGGGACGCTACCAGTGTGTGGCCCGGATGCCCGCGGGGGCTGTGGCCAGTGTGCCAGCCCCTGTGACACTAGCCAGTGAGTCTGCGCCTTTGCTCTCTGCCCCCGTGCAGTCCCTCCTCCCCTCGCCCAGCCCCCTCTCACCCCACCGTTCATACCCCCATCATTAGTCTCACCATCAAAGGGGCTTTAACTGCTGAAATTTCATATCAGAGAACAGTAGCTGCCTAGTGATCCCCAGTGGTGGGGGACACCTGCAGCCCTGGGAAGCCTCTCCCTGAGTAGGGGCTATGTCTGGAGTGTGTCTACAGAGAGGGGAACTGGTCAGTGCCCTCAACATGGCTGAACTGTTTCTGTGACCCAGGCTGGGCCATGCCGTGCCCTTCTTCTCAGTCACCCCGTGGCTTCAGGTGCGGTGTGCCAGCTGCCCAGACGCCTCCCCCGCCCCCTTGCTCCATTCTCTTCAGTGGTTACAGTCAGAGCTTTGGCCGGGGCAATTTATAGTCTGAACAGAGCCTGCCCATCCCAGATTTGGCTTCCTGTCTCTGTGAGGAGCAAGCGTACTCCAGGTGCCTGGAATATAAATACTAGAATGTGATGAAAAGGAAATTGTAAGACAAAGGGATAAAGAGAAGAGAAGTAAGGAAGAGATTAGGTGACAGTTTGGTCAAAGAGAATGCCAAGACTTTATACTACCATTTCTTTTTTTCAGTTTTGCCATTCTTTTATTTATGTTATTGCCCTCAGATAGTTTATTAAAATCATCACATCTGTAGACATTCTATTTGTGATATGGAATCAGTGTTATCTCTGATCTCTACTTTATCTGATTATTACATTATAAATAATGCGGGTGCTCAGGCCAACGTATGGAAACCAAGAGCCAAATGGCTTCCAGGGTCCCTCCCAACTGAATAATTCTGGTGAATTCCATGTTCATGCACTTCCTGCCAGATTATCCCCGTGACTGCTCTAATTTCTTTTATGCTTGTGAAAGTGAGGCATAGTTTTCACAAAATTACTTAAGTAGTGGGTCTTGTAAGGACCCAACAGAGCAAAGCAGGGGCCACGTGACTCAACACAGTCAGGGCTGGAAGAGGAGCCTGGTCCAGGACAGGTGTTCCTAGTCACCACGCTGGTCTCCCTGACTAAGCCCCATTGCATTTGGCCAGATGGACATGGGCAGCAGACACACTACCTCTGTGTGTGACTGCCACTTGTGTGTGCTGTGTCCCAGGCACAATACATACAATCTCTGATTTTCCACTCATGATACATACGGGAACGTGAGACTTGACTGAAGTCAGCCCCAATACCCATTCTTACATGCTGAGCCTGTAGCCAGAAAATTTAAAGAATTGACTCCAACTTGGCCCCTTTCCTACAGCCTGAAGTGTAGAAAATAGGGAAACTTGTTGAGACTTTCATGGAATTTGCCTTTAAACTTTGAGAAGATTTCCAGGGCCTGTTCCCTCATGACTTAGCAGTGACCCCGTATCACTGAAGGCCCTGCTTTGGGCTTCCACGTCACCACCGTCATCACTCTCAGGGGTGACGTGGTTACAGAAGGTTGGTGTTCCTGTATCCTGGGTCCTACCCAAGCCAGCTGGGGGCCCGGGATGAGTGAGGTGTGAGTCCTGGGAGGAGAGTGAGCAGAGATGGGGAAATAGAAAAGCCTCTCCCTGCCCTCAGGTCCCCAGATCTCTGGAGAAGCTTCACTCCGTGGGAGAGTGGAGCAGAGGCTGCCGGCAGTATTCCTGCTTTCTTGGGAAACAGTCAAGCAGCCCTGCCCTTTCCGCAGGGGGAAGGCGCCGTGTGTCCTCAGCTGCCTCCCAAAGGGGCCAGGCTGCCTCTGGGCTGCATCTTGGAGCCACACACAGGGAGCCGCCCTCCACTGTGGCAGAAGGAGTCCCCATGGAGCCTGGGTGCTGGGCCCTCACCTCCAGCTGTGCTTGCGTGTGGGGAGGTCGCTGGGAGGCTTGGGTGAGGAGGGTGGAGGGTGGGAACGGTCATCTCGTCACATCAAGAAGGGCTGAGGTCAGAGCTGCACTTCCTACCTCCACTTTCATATTTTAAAATTATAATTATAATCGCATTATAGAAAGTTTAGAACATATAGAAAATGTACCCCCTAAGCCCACCATCCTTCTAGAAACACCATTGTCTTTTGGAGTACATCCTTCTAGTCTTTATCCATACCTATAGTTTTACATTGTTGTAATGATGCCATTGGAGAAACTGAACATACAGTTTCTATTCTTATTTTTCCCCCAACATATTGTATGATAAGGATTTTCCATTGGCCATAGGACCATAATTTACTGTTTATTGAGTATGAAATATGAATAGTAAAGTACACAAAGTGTACCAATCCTAAGTGAACAACTGATGCATTCTTTTTCATATGTGTACACCTGTGTACCCATCCCTCCAGCACGTTGCCTCATGCCCCTTCTGCGTTAATCCATCCTCCCAGCCCCCACCAATGATTATGATCCCAATTACTAATGGCCCGAGAACATCGCTTTCACCATCATGTACCAAACTCTTTCCCTATTGCTGGGCAATTAGGGTGCTTCCGTTTTTTCATCATTACAAATGAGGTGCGCCTTTGAGCAACGTTTGTGCCCTTGAAGGGAACTGCTGCTCACCCAGGAGGGAGATTTCATCTGCAAATGGGCAGCACGCGTCTGTGGAGACTCAAGAAATTCCATAACCACTCATTTGGCCTAATTAGGAGCCAGGCTGAACCTTTTATTGTTTGGAGAAGGGAGAGTGGAGAGTGGAAGATTTATCTTGGAGCCCTCCTTCTGCTTCAAGGTGTATGTGTGTGAGGAGAGACAATTTATAGCCTTTATTTTTAAAATATTCCTGGCTGCTTCTTTCTCTGGTGCTTGAAGGGATCTGCAGTTGGCAGAGGGGACAAAGGGAAGTGTTTGGTTGCAACCCAGCAAGGCACAGTGAGAGAAGAAGGGGCTTGTGCAGAAGCTGAGCTAGACTTGTTTGAAAGCCAGGAACTGTTGGCTTGTCACTTAGACATGAATCAGGAGTGAAATGTTTGGGCCTGACGAGAAGGAAGGAGAGTGCTGGAAATGGAGAGAGCGGGCACAGGGGGGCTGCGCCATGGAGAAGAGGGAGTTGCTGGAGTAGAACTGCGGCCTCCCAAGCTTGGAGGAGGCAAAGAGACGGACAGGGTGGCGGGAAGGCAGCGGGGGAGTGGGAGGCGAGAGAACGGGGTGCTGTCTTTGGGTTGATGCCACTGGGGGATTTGGCCGGGCCGCAGCCGTTAGATTAAGTTTCTGAAAGCGCATTCCTGAGCAGAATGGGGACTGTGTTTTGCTGGTTGGCTAATGTAGGAGGGAGGCTGAGCGGTCGACGGGATTACCCGAGGCAGGGTCTGCATTCAGAGGAAAGGCTGGGCAGCGGCCTGCCAGTGCGCATGCACCCACACCCTAGCACACCCCCACACGCTCGGCACTTAAGGCTTCCTTTTTCTCTGGCCTCTTCTCCATGCCTTCCTATGTTCATCCCCACACAAAGCAGTCGCTATTTGGCCTCGCTGGCAAGATGCCGTTTACTGCTTCTAACTCCTAGAGATCACTCGGAGCTTTAGGCTATGGGGCCTAGGGCCTGACTCGAGGACCCGGGTGGGAAGGAGCCCTTTAGCAGAAGAACTTTCCTCGTCTAGCCTCTTTTACTCCAGTGTTGAGGGGATAGAGGCGTCCCCTTGGACTTTAGCCCGCCTGGTGCCATCAGCTCCTGGTTTCCAGGTAAAAGGGAGCTGGAAGTCAAGAGTCACCTGAGGAGTCTCACCTGTACATTCCGCCCCAGCCCCCATCCGGGTTGTCTTGGCCGTGTGCATAGTGACCACCCTCACGCTCTGTGGAGGTGCCCATCTCACTCTCCTGGGTGGCGAATTTTTTCCTTCCTGTGTAACCTAAACTTTATTTCGATCAGTCTCTCTTTCTGCTAGTGCCTCACTTCAGATCACCTTGCCTGATTCTTGCTTTTTCAAATGCTTTTGACTTTGGTCTCCTTCCTTGCACTCCCCTTTCCCTTTCTTTTTGCAAGCTTTACACCAGGCGGCCTACCACTCTACATGGCTCGAACGCCACACTCTGCTCCTGAACCGACAGCAGACACTGCCGGTGGATACCATCCTTACTGGACCCCGGTTCTGCCTCAGAACAGCTCTCAGCACAGCGTAGCAAGTAGTCACGACCGCTTCTTCAGAGCTGGCGTGCAGCGTGGAGACTGTTCTCCATCCCTTACCTCTAGTCATCTTCCGTTCAAATAAACTCCCACGTAATCTTTTATTTTTAACTTTTTCCCTATTCTTTAATTCTCCCAATTCTCCTATCATCCCTAGGTCTCAGTTGTAGTTGGAAATAAAATAGGTGGTACCTGGGTAGTTGCCTAGAATTCTATACCTGGGAATTTTAGTCCTCGGGCTAATGTGAAGTCTTAAGTTGCTGCTGGTATAATTTTGAACAGATCCGCCGTCCTCCGAAAGGCCTCTGAGCACTAAGACCAGGCACGTACTCCTGAATGGTCCTCTCTCTGGCACCAGAGATCAGCAGGAGAGGCGGCTGGCAGTAACGGAAGAAGTCCCCTTGGGCAGCCATCCCCACGACTCTGTGACTTTGAGGAAAGGTCAGAAGGTGACCAGGGGCCCTTTGTTACTATAATCAATTTAACCCATGAATAAAATAAAGAGCCAAACTGGTCTAATGAAAAAAACAAAAAACTAAAAAAAAAGGTTTTTTTAATACTGGATTTAAGTCTTAGCTCTGTCACTTGAGAGTTACACGACTTTGGGCAAGTCACTTAATCTCTAGATTGCCACACCTGTGAAATGAGCACAGTAATAATTATATCACCAGTCTCATGGGGGTGTTTCGAGGCTCATATGAGGGAATATGTGGTCATAGAATTTTGGAAGCATTTTAGAAATTCCAGGCTTTATTCCTGCCCCCGTTTGGTCAGCAGACATTTGTGGAGCGTCTCCTTGCAGGAAGCTCTGGAGCTTATGTCCAGCCCCGTGCTGCCAACGCCATTCTGGGAACAACCCTTGGGAA